CACACACACACACACACACACACCTCAGATGCCATCAGCCACCCCCGCGTGACACTGACACACACACACGTGTGACACTGACACACACACCCCTCAGATGCCATCAGCCACCCCTGTGTGACACTGACACACACACACACACTCACACTCTGTACAGCTGAGCCAAGGGGGCCAGAGGCCAGGCTGGATCCCTCGGCCCTGCGGGGACACTCACCATCAACACCCCATAGGACCACCAGTCGGCGCTGTGGGCGTGGCCCTGGCGGTTGACGACCTCGGGGGCCATGTACTCCACCGTTCCGCAGAAGGAGTAGGCCTTCTTCTCGTGGTCAATGGCCTCCTTGCTCAGGCCAAAGTCTGCGGTGTGGAAGGCCAGAGGGCACCTCTTCAGGGATCGCTGCCTCCCTCGCTGCCACCCCCCGCCCCGCCCCAGCCCCCCGTGGACAGCACTCAGGAAGAAGTGAGGCCCAGAGAGCTTAGGCTATGTGCCCAAGGCCCCATACCCAGAACCACCCAAGTCGGGCCAGAGCGTGTGACCGCTTCCCAGTGCCTGACACAGCCTCTCGGGAGGGGGGGCCTTTACACAAAGCTTGGCTCCATCAGGAGGCCACTCTGCGCCCCCCACCCCGGGGCCTGAGGCGGCAGGCGCCCTCTACTCACCAGTGAGCTTGATGTGGCCCTCTTCGTCCAGAAGGATGCTGTAAGGGAGAGTGGCGGTCAGGGCCCCAGGTGACACCAGTGGGCTTGTGGGTGCCCTGTACTCTGGGCTGGCCACACGTCTGATGAATGGGTGGGTGGAGCAGGGGTGGGTGGTGGCAGGCGCCTGCTGGGGGGACTCTGAGTCCCCGAGTACCTCGAGGCATCACCCCGTGCCATGCAGGTACGTGACCTCTCTTTCCCGCTGTGAGGGATGTGGAGCAGGTACTGTGATGGTCCCATCTGAACAGGGAGCCCAGAGGCTCAGGGAGGCTACGTGAGCCCTCACAGTCGAGAAGAGATGGCGGTGGTGAAGGCAGTACTACTGAGGTCAGCCTAACTCAGAAGCCGAGCCCATTCCCCTTTACCACCTGGCCCGGGCTCCCCAGGTACACCCAGATGTTAAGAAAACTCCCACGCGGGCCGCATCCAACCCAAGGAATGAGCTTCACTGGCCCAGTCTCAGAGGCCGCACTGGATGAGCAACGTAAGGGCGTGTGGATGGTGCCTGGCACGGGGCCTGGGCGACACTGGAGATCATGTGCCCCCCACAAGGAGGAAGGGCCTGCAGCCAGTCCACCCACCTACTCAGCAGACAGACTACGGTAGGGACATCCTTGGGGAGAGCCAAGCCACCTCCAGCAGAGTGGCCCTATCCTTCAGAGGCCCAGCACCTGCCTGTGCTCTCCCCTGGGAGGCCGGGGGCGCGAGGGCGCGTCACTCACTTCTCAGGCTTGAGGTCTCTGTAGATGATGCCCAGGCTGTGCAGGTGGTCCAGGCCCAGAGCCAGCTCAGCCAGGTAGAACTTCACGTCCTCCTCTGTGAACATGACCTGCAGCAGGCGGGAGGAAGCTGCAGCTGGCACCCTCGGGCCCCGGCCTGGGCAGTCCACTGCCTCCTGGTCCCAAGGGTCCACCTTGGGGAGCCCGGGGCTATAATGCCTCCTCTTTAGAACAGGGTTTGTAGTACGAAGTGACTAAGACACAAGTCACTCGCTGGGGGGCTGTTTGGAATTACGGAAGGTGGCACTAGCAGACTGGAATAAACTCTCTCTCGCACACCAGCCACCCCGACGAGGACTCTCGCCTCGTGTGGCTGTGGCCTGATGGCCGGTACGCACTGGCAGGCCGTCAAAACAAGGCACAGAGCAGCAGCGTACGCAGACGGACCCTTCTTTCTGTGAGAGTCGGGATTCAGGGCACACCCGAGCTCTGTTTATATTTGCCAAAGACACCAGGGGAGGTTAAACCAGAAACCACTCAAGCCGCTGACCTACGTGGAGGTAGAAGGGACTGGGTTCAGTACACGACTTCTCCGTGAACAGTTTGTGTTCGATCAGGTGTGTTTCACCGCTTCAGTCACTAAAGAGCCCTGGTCTCTGTGAGGGAAGTGGTGGACCGTACCACCCGCTGCTCCCCGGGAGAATGAAGAGGCATCCCTCCTACAAAGATTCATGACCTCGGAAGTTCTGCGCAGGGTCGCCAGGAGTGGGAATTAACTCGATGGCAGGTATCTTTTGATTTTAGTCACACTTTCCCCCCACACTTTAAAATAAAAATTTTCTCATAAGTTGGTCCTCTTGGTTTGAGTTGTATTAATGGTCTCCTTTTTTCCATCTGGCTCAAATCCTTTCATATTAATTCACACCCTTTTGGTTGAGGGGACAAGAACATTGATGCTTCTAGCTTCCTGGGTGGATCTGGGCCGCGCCCCTGGCCCCGAGACACTGCTCAGGCAGCCTGGGAAAACAGCAGTGGCCACTGGAGAGCTAGCTCCCTGTTCCTCAGAGCTGGCAGTTCTGAGGGATGCAGACTCATTTTGGGAGAACTCTCAGAGGCTTTGCCAGGCTTAGCCCCAGGGTCGGTGGTGCTTCCAGGGTGAGAGGCAGTTAGGCAGGCCTGGGTGGTCCCAGGTCCTGGCCATACTGCTGGGCAGGCCCTGGCATGGGACCTCAACCAGTCACCGCCCCCCGCCCCCCAGCTCCTCCCTAGGTCTGCTGCCAGTAGAAGGCGGCTCACCTCCTTGGAGAGCCGTGTGAAGAGGTCCCCACCACGCAGGAAGTCCAGAATGAGGTAGAGCTTGCCCTCGGTCTGGAAGGCTGGAAGATTTGGAAATGGCGGTAGTCGAGCCAACAGAACCCAGAACCTGCTCCCCCGCCCCCTCCGTGCGCTCCTGCCTTGCCTGCTGGGAGGAGCACTATGTATTGGGAAGGGAGTAGTCCGGGGGGAGAGGGGGGCCGGGTGAGGGTCGGGGAAGAAGGCTGGTGGTGGCCGGGGCAGGTGAGGTCCAAGGACTTACCATAGTGCAGCTTCACCACAAACGGATGATTGACGTCAGCCAGGATGTCCCTCTCCATCTTGGTCCGGACGCGATCTCGCACTGGCCCGAAGAAACAGGCGACTATGCCAGAGCCCTCCCAGGAGTCCAGCCACCCCTACACCCTGGCTGGAAAGGGCCTCTCTCCTGCTTGTTCCCCAGGCCTAGGCCCCGGGAGCACCCTCGCCCAGGGCGTTGGGGATACTCAGTCTTCAAGATTCCTCCTTCTCAGCCTGGTTCTGGCTCTTTGGCCTGTTCTCTGCCCCCATCTCTCATGCAGTGTCCAGGGATGGACCTCCTGCCCATCTCTCTAGCCCTCCCCCCTTCCCCACCCCATCCAGGGCCATTTAGCTCAGCTGATGTAGCCAGTCACCCAGGGGCCCAGCTCCTTCAGAACTCCAGGCCCCTGCAGCTCCCCTGGGGGTGCTGCACCCCACTCCTCTTCATCTGGTATCAAAGTCCCCAGGGTCCAGCATAGTGGCACATGACCCCTGGGCAACCGGCCAGGAATGGAGATCCCCCCGGGTCCAAGGCTGGAATGCAAGGTTCTGGATGAGCACCTCCCCATTCTTCTGTTTTGTTTTGTTCTTTAAGAACAAGAAGTCCCCGGGCAATTCTGGTCCCCAGTAAGTTTGGGGCTATGGGATTCACCTCCTTCTTGGACTCACTTCAGGCCTCCCCTCTTCCAGGACGCCGGTCCTCACCCCCCAGCCTGGCGGGTCTCTGTGACACTTCACCCTGTGTTTCCTTCTGCAGCTGACGCTAACCAGTTTCCCCAAACCGCCTTGAGGGTTCCTGCCTCTCAGTTCTGCATAGATGTTTCTCCTCCCGGGGTGGCCTTCCTCCACATGGGGAACACTTCTAGCTCCTAGCTCAAACGGGTGCTCCCTCGGTGTTCCCTGACCTCCAAGCCGGCTCTGTCTGGGTGCTCTCTACCCCCCCGGCACCTGGGCCGCCTGTTCCAGCAGGACATAACTGATTGCACCCATTCCCCTCAGCCCAGGAGACTCTCCTGGGCAGGAACCAAGTCTCGTCATCTTTCTTCTGGCCTGGGGCTCCCACTATCTCTCCTGGGGGATGACTCCCACCCCCAGCCCAGGTGGGCCTAGGGGCACTAAAGTTACCATCACCCCAGATGGACCTTCCCAGGCCACATGGCCCAGAACATACCCGAGCCTCCTATAGCTCCCACTCCACCTGACCTGTGGACACGCTGGTTTCCCTGCTGATCAAAGGGTCAGCATTCAGCCCAGAGCCGTCCACTAATCACCCTCCCACCGTGGAAAGTCCTCAGAAGGAGAGACTCGGCTTATGCTCCTGCCAGCTCTCCATGCCCCCCATCGCCACAGTCATTCCTTGACCTCACCCTCCCCTGCTGGTCCAGCTGTCCCTGGCTCCTGCCACTTCTCTTGTGCCCGTCTCCACCCTGAGGCCAGAGAAGTCACCCCAGATTCTACACCACGAAGAAACTTTGCTGACAGAATGCCCCCGCCCAAGCAGCATGGTGCCTCATGCTGGAGCGCCCGCCCCGCCCCGACATGCATGTGCACGTTGCACACAGAATAAAGAAGACCGCAGAAGACCCGGTGCCTCTGGAAGGTGCTGGTGAAGAATACTGAGCGTGCCACGCGCTGCCGTCAGACCCGGCACATCTCTCTTAGAGGAGGTGCAGCCTCCAAAGCGAGACTTATGCTCACTCACTTGGGACATATCAGGAGAGACCAGTCCCTGGAGAAGGACATTCTACTTGGTAACATAGAGGGGCAGCAAGAAAGAAGGCCCATGACTAGAGGGATGGACACAGTGGCTGCAAGGATGGGCGTGAACATAACACCTGTGAGGATGGGGCAGGGCTGCCCTGGCAGGGTTTCCATCTGCTGTATGCAGAGTAGCTCAGCGTCAGACCGACTGGACGTCCCCTAACCACCACCCCCTCTCACCACACTTGTCCAATCTGTAAGCCAAGCAACTCATCCGAGAAGCTGGCTTCCATGCAGGAGGACATGGCATCAGGACTGGAGGAAGGCTTATGAACAACATGCAGTGTGCGGACGACACACCCACGCTTGCTGAAAGTGAGGAGGACTTGAAGCCCTTGCTGACAGAGATCAAGGACTGCAGCCTTCAGTGGGGGTTACAGCTCAGGGTCAAGAAGACCCAAATCCTCACAGCTGACCAGTAGACAACATCATGACCAGGGAGAAAAGATTGAAGTTGTCCGGAGTTTTGTGTGGGCTTGAATCCACAATCAGTGCCGGGCAGGCAAGCAGGAAGCAGCAGGCAAGAGATCAAAAGATGTGTTTCATTAGGCAAATCCTTTTCAGAGTATTGAAGGGTGTTACTTTAGAAGGATGTCACAAGTTAGAGTCTTAAAGGATGTTACTGGAAGGGCTAACTGACCCAAGCCCTGGTATTTTCCATTGCCTTATACACAGTGAACGTTGGACATTGAATAAGGAAACATGAAGAATCAAGGCATTTGAATCGTGGTGCTGGAGAAGAACGATGAAAGTACCATGACGACTGAACATTAAAAGTAAAAGGACAAACTGATCTCTCTTAGAAGAAGTGGAGCCAGGGTGCTCCTTGGAGGCAAGGATGGCAGGACTGCCCCTCACAGCTTTGGACGTGTTGTCAGGAGAGAGCGGTCCCCAGGGAAGGACGTGACGCTGGGTACAGTGGAGGGGCCGTGAAGGAGAGGAAGGGCCTCAACGCGATGGCCTGCATCGAGGGGTTCAGGCACAGGAGCAACTGAGGACGGCACAGGACCGTGCTGGTGTTTTACTCTGTTGTGCGTGGGGTCGCTGGGGGTCAGAGCCGACTGATGGCACCGAACCATCGCCACCACCTCGAACATAACCACACCGCACTGCCCCTACTGCCTTCTTTGACGCACTCATCGTCAGCTCCAGTGACCAGCACGCGGCTTTGAGAGCGAGGGTAAAGATGAAGTAGCGGGGTAGGGGTCATGTCTTGAGAGTGGGGCCTCTCTCCCTATCGGGTGGGGTGGGGGCAGCTGAGACCACGCCAGTTTCTCCTCTTTCAGACCAGGTACTCCTGAGGCTAGAGCAACCTGCCATCGAGCTGGGGCCCTAGAGGACAAGGCTGTCTCCACCCACCCTGAGCCTCCTGGGGCCTCCCACAGGGCGTTACTCCCCACTCACCTTTCAGGGTCGCCTTCTTCAGCACCTTCATGGCGTACAGATGCCCGTTATCGGGCCGGGTGACCTTCCGCACCAGGAACACCTGGGAAGGCAGTGTGGGAGAAGCCCCATCAGCCCTTTCCCCCTGATTCTTTGAACCTCAAGATCCCAGCAGCTCCTCACCCACTGGGTCCTGCGGGGACGTCTCACCTCCCACCTCTGACATGGTCAGGACTTCCTGCCCAGCTGCGAGCCTAGAACTCACTTTGCCGAAGGATCCCTGGCCCAGGACCTTGAGGAGCTCAAACTGGGAGGGGTCCGCCTTCTCAGAGCCAGCCTTGACGTGGTGTGTGATGGAGAACTCCTGCAGAACGCCCTCATCCTGAAAGAGAGACAGAGTCCAGCAAGTCCAGCCCCACCGGGTCTCAGCAGACGGGGCCCACGGGCCCACGCAGGCAGGCAGCCGGATGTCGAGACCAGGGGGGCAAACTGCCAAGTGCTCCCACTCCCTGCTACTCCGGCCTGGGCTGCGCAGACATGGGGGGTGGGATTCTCGCCCTGCCCAGCCCTGGCTGAGACCCAGAGGCCTGCAGAGACCCTCCCCGTGGGGATCCCCTCCCCCTGCGCAAAGGCTTAGAGATTGACCACAATAGGAAGTAGGGTTTGTTCTTGTACCGGGGAGGCGAAGCTGAACCTTTGCTCTTGATCAAGGTGGGCAAGTGGTGGGGGGAGGTCTCTCTGGCTAGCGGGACAGGGCTGAGGTACACAGCGCCCTAAGAGTTCTCTGGACTTCCCCACCAACCCAGAAGCCTCAGCTTGGGGCACTTGGGAAAAAGGCCAGCCTCAATGCCCTTCTCCCAAGCTTCCCCCAAGAGGCTCGGGCCATGGCTGGGCTGGCCTGGGTGTGCTCTGCCTCCCCGCCAACCCATCAGCATCGCCCTTGAGCCCGGAAATGCCTCCCCACGTCCCCAGGAAACCACTCTGGACAGGGTCCCATCAACCCACATGGCCAGACCTGGGCCAAGACGGCCCACAGGCTGCTGAGGCCAAAGTGGCTGCCCAGGCACCTGCTCCCAGGGCCATGGCCAGAGCTGGTCCAGACATCCGGGTACACTCACCGGGTCCTGCCGGGGGCGAGAGCCAGGGCCCAGAGCAGGCAGCAAGGTCTCGCTGATCCTGCGCCGCTGCTTCCTGGACAGCCAGGGCAGCAGGGACAAAAGCCGCAGCCCGGGCAGCTTGGGATCCTGCTCCATCCACCCGGCAGGGCCAGGGCACCATGGCAGGAGCAGGCAGTGTCCGAGCCACCTCGGAGGTGGCTGGGCCCAAGGCGGATGTGCAGGGAAGAACGGGGGCTGGGCTGAGCCCAGGACTGCCAATCACTCGAGGCCTGTGGTTTCCCAGTTGCAGGCCTACACCCTCCCCGAGTTCCCTTCTTCCCCAAACCCCCACCCCAATGGCTGAGGGCTGCCCTCTGGCCACCCCCTAGTCTCGGTCGGGGGGTGGGGGGCTGGGAGAGCTGCAAAGGGAAAGCCCTGTCCCAACCCAGCTGCTGAGGAGGAGATAGGCGCTCATTACACCGAAGTGAAGGCAAGCGCCCATCACAAGACAGGAACTCAACAGCAGAGGCACCCAGAGGCAGATAAAGAGAGACACCCATCAGGAGAGGCATGCACACGAAGGTGGAGGCTGATAAAGAAAGGCAGTCAGCAGGCAGGGCAGGAGAGACCCAGACCAAACAGCCCAGAACGTGCACCCAACAAGCAGAGGCAGGTGAAGACTCACAGCCAACAGGAGAAGACAGAGAAACACATCCCTAACGGGCAGGCACGGCCAGGGACAGGCACCCAACCAGCCGAGGCAGATGGGGGCAGATGCCCAACAGGTAGAGGCAGATAGGAAGCCGTATCCAAGAAGCAGAGATGGGTGGGGATTCACTCTCAACAGCAGGAGGCAGATGGGGACTGGTACCCACCAGGAGGAGGGGGGACAATGACTTGTATCTAACGGGCAGAGACAGATGTAGACAGGCAGCCAACCGGCAAAGGCAGATGGGGATGTATGAGGGGGCTTCTAAACATTTGTGGAACAATGGAATGAAAAGATAATGGAACTTTCCCACGAGGTTTCTGAATTCTCCATGTACAGGCAAAAGGCAAAGAAAAAGGGCTTCCTGCACCCGGCGGGAAGTGCACCGAAAGGCAGACACAGATGGGGCACGGGGCCAGGACAGAGACAAACAGGAGTCCGACAGGAGAGGCAGGTGGGGATCACAGAGGGAGCCAGAGAGTCAAGCGGACTGTCAGATGCTCAGAGCAGATGGAATCTGACAGCCACAGACAGGGAGCCGGGTGGGGATAGCCCAGGAGGGGGTCAGACTCTGGGCGGGAGGTCCGAGCTCAGGGTTCCCGATGTCTCCTGGAGAGCAGGTGTTAACTGGGAAACCCCAGGACTCAGGAAAGGAGGCCGGCGTGCATGGCAGCCGGAGCCCTGAGGTGCCCCAGGACTAAGAGTGGGTGGACAGGCCATCTCCTGAGTGTCCTCTCATGACTTAGATGCTGACCCCAAACATCCACCAAGCACCCTCTCCATTTTCGAGAACTAGGAACAAAGGCCAAGCGGACAGTGCCTCCCCCAGGTTCAAAGCACGTCAGGGCTGGCACCCGAGGTCCTCCCTTGGTTCTGGCCTGTCCTCAAGTGCCAGGAAAGGGTGGGCAGGTAAGTCAGCCAGTGCCACTTCCTGTCCACCCCGGCCTGTTCCTCCCCACCCTCAGCCTGGGGACTTCCCACTCCGGGTCTTGACCCTCTGAGAGAGCCCCAACTTCAGAGCACTTTCCCTGACAGAAGAGAGTTGAGTGTAGCAGCCACATGACGATCCCCGTTAGATACAACCGCTGAGTGGGCCTGTGCGGGCTGCCCCAGGAGGGGCAGGCAGAGCGCCTGGCGCAGAGAGAGATGATGGGGTGGGCCAAGGAAACAGCAGCTCCTACCCACAGAGTCTACCTCTGACTGAGAACACTCCCTGGAGACAGAGGCAGCCACCCGGAAACCCCAGGGGACAGAGCCACCACCACCCCTTGCCCAGAGCCACAGTGCCACACATGGCTGGAGGTGCTCACCTTTCTGGGGCGGGGGACTGAGCCTCCCTCCCCACGGGGGAAGTCTGCCGGGGTCTGCATGTTAGGGCTCTAGCTGGTAGCCAGAGGGCCCTGTCACTACCCCGACTTCTGCTTTTCCAGCCTTCTCAGCCCAGAAGGCAGGGTCCCTGTCCCCCCTCCTTCTCACTTCCCCCTCTGCAGGGAGGAGGGACAGCAGATGGGTCAGGCTCCCTGCAAGGGAGGGACCCCAAAGACCCCAAGCCCATGGCTCCAAGGTAGACTCAGATATGCAGCCCACCCCCTCCCCTGGCAGTGTGGAAGGGAGCCAGAGGGACAGAGATTGGCAGGGGTGTGCGTGTGCGTGTGCGTGTGTGTGTGTGTGTGTGTGTGTGTGTGTGTCTGCCTCCAGCTGCCCAGCCCAGGGCTAGGGGGTCCACGTCCCTCACACACTCCCTTTCTATAGGAACCTCCAGCCCCACCCCCCAAGGCTAGTTCCAAATGGCCCCAAACCCCAGCCCTTACCCAGCCCTGCCCCGCCCCAAGGTCCTGGTGCCTGAGCCCTGTCCTGAAGAAGCCTGCCAGCCCAAGGGCCTGGGCTGGACCATGAGCACAAGCCCCCAGCCTGCAAGGCTGCCCCTAGAAAGCCCACACAGAGGACTGGCGGGAGAGGCCAGTAGGGTTGCCCAGGCCCCACCCTTTCTACACGGCCCCACCTCCTCGTTCACACCAGCACGCCCACAGGAACTGACAAACGGACACCCGGACACGCACACACACACTCAGGCTGCTGGTCGGAAACTATTTCCACAGACATCCCCCCTGTGGAAACCCACGCCCGTGTACACAGACTTTCCCTCCCAGCCTCATGGGAGGGGTCCCAGCCTCAAACTGGGAGGGGTCCGCCTGCTCAAGGCAGTCTCTGATGGTGGTGCCCTGGGGGGTCGTGAAAGATGTTCCCCAACACTGGGCCTCCCCACGGCCAGCCCATTCCTCAGGCAGGGTCTGTTGGCTAGGGCCGCCATGGGAACCGCAGTGGGATCGGGCCCAGCAGCGGAGGAGGGGCCAGGGCCCGCCCGCCCCCTGGGAGCAGCAGAAGCGCCTCCGTGGCCAGCAGGGGACAGGAATGGGCAAGAGGAAGGAAGCAGGGTCACCTTAGCAGAGGGTACCTGGAGAGGCTGGCTGTGCAGCCTCTGGGGATGGGGGCGGGGCAATCACCAGCCCACATGCCTTTACTCTGGGCCTCCTTCTCCTCCTGTAAGCACTTCCTCTTTCTTGACTTCCTCCCACAGAGCGGCGGAGATAAGCCCTGAGCCCCCCAGCCCCCAAATCCCCTGCCCTCTGCCAGTCATTGCCTGTCCCTAATGGACACCAACCTTCCCTTCCCCAGCTGGTACCATGTGTAGGGCTCCCAGCCCTCCCCTCTCTGCTGGCACCACTGTCCCCTGATGCATTCCCCAGCATGCCTCTGGGCGGGGACCCTACTGCCAGGGCCCTGCGTGTGAGGGTCACAGAGCAGTGAAGGACACGGCACCTCCGATGGACTAAGCCTTCACTGCACGCAGCCGTCCTTTCCGCGTGGCCTGTGCCAAGGGGATTCAGCCCAGGCCTTGGCCTTGGCCTTGGTTTCAGCACTGGTGCTAGGACCCTGGGTCTTAGCCACCAGGGAAGCAGCAACATTCCCACTTCGAGGATGACACTGAGCTCAGAAAGTGGCAGGCCCTCAGTCACGTGGCTAGAGAGGAGTAGCACTAAGAACAAAGTCAAAGTCGGTCTGTGCCCAAGCCCCCTCCTAGCAAGGCCAGCCAGCCTCCCCTCTGCACACCACTCACACCACCGGCCGCAACTCTGACCCAGGCAGGAGCCTGACACCAGGGGGTGCGGGGCGAAGGCAGACCTCGGCTGTGTCCTCGAGAAACTTCCCCCACGGAGCCTGTGGCTGTCCTGGCAACACTGACTCACGGAGACCGCCAGCCTCGGAGCAGAGCGGTGCCCCACAGGATTTTCATGGTAGGCAGCCAGGCAGCTCTTTTGGGGTACTCTCTCTGGGTGGACTTGACCCGTCAACCTTTCAGTTAGCAGCCAAGTGTGTTAACCACTTGCCCTACCCAGGGCCTCTCAGGAAAGGGACACACGCTGGTGAAACACCCCTGCCCTGGGGTGTAGTTGCAGCCAGGTGCTGTGGGGCCGAATGCAGCGAGTGCCAGGTAGACCCCCTCCAGAATGCAGCTGTCCAGCCATCTTGGAGAAACAGGCAGTGGGCAGGACGGAAGACACTAGGTAGAGAGAGCTTCCTGCCTGGGCCTAAGGCGTGGAGCTGGGAAGTCCAGGGGCGTGCACCTCAGTTTCCTCCTCGTAAAAGTCCGTGGTCTTCCCTCAGAAGGCTGTTTCTGGGAGCACACCGGACCACACAGACAAAGGGGCCTTGTAAAGGGAACCTCCGCCTGGTTTTGTTGGGTGGTCTTATTGCTGCAGGGTCTTCCCCTGGGCAAGCCCCACGGTCACTGGCCAGCCACGGGGCCCCAGGTGCTGGGAAGGTGGGCCAGGCCTGCCCTGGCCAGTCTGAGGGAAATCCCCCCAATACCTGAGGCTCCCCAAAGTCCACATCCTGCCTGAGCTCAGGGCAGGGGAGCAGGAGGGATCCGGGAGGGATCAGGGTTTCATAAACAGGAAGAGAGGAGGGGAGGGGGGGTGGGGGGAGAGGCTCAGCTCTCAAAATAGACCCGCGGGTGCTTCAAAGGGGTCCAGCTCTGGAGACAGCAGAGGGAGGGTGCCTAGGGTGCCCAGTCCACCCTAGGAAGCGTGAAGGTGGGGGTGAATAGAGCCCCAGGGTTCTGTAAGGTAACAGCTCAGGGTGCTGAAGGCATCTGAGGACCTGCTGTCCACGCTGCCACTGCTAAAACCCCAATGACCACAGCAACCACGCATCCAGCCCCACACTGTCTCCCACTGCATATGCTGCGCAGCCTCGCCTCAGCTGGCCCTGAGAGCTGGGTTCCAGTTGCCTGTGCTGTGAAGGGCAGGAAATCTGAGGCTCAGAGGGGCCAGCCTCTCACCTCAGGACTTACGGTCACCAAACACACAGAATTTGAACTCAGGGTACCTGACTCCCCAGTTCCCTCCCTGCTCCTCCCTCACCCAGACCCCACCCCTCTTCCTATTGCCAAGGCCTGTCAGTCAGTCAAGCCCCAGTAAAAGCCGGCACTGTAGGGAAGGCAGGGTGATGTCCCCTGGTCTACCCATCTCTTCCTGCTCTGCTGTGCGTAGCCATGACTGTCTGTCATGGGCCCCCACTCAGCCCCGTGCCCTGGTGTGGCCACGGGCTCCCCGAGAGGTATGTGTGAGAACACCTGTGCTAGCATGGAGTGCAGGATCTGGGCCCACAGCCACGTTCTTCCCCACGAGGGCACACGCCGAACAGTGCTCCTATCTCCACCCTTCCCTGCAAGGCGGGGAGTTCTTGGAGGGTAGGGGTGTTGCAATTCTCCTGGGGTGCCCTAGGGCCACAGCCAGGTGCCCTGAATGGCTGATGAAGCAAAGGCTGCTCGGGCAGCTGCCACCTCCACGTCCTGCGAGGGTGACCAGGTTCCAAGCCCAGGCTGAGCGCCCAAGATGGAGCACTGAGGACACTGGTGGTGGGACAAGAGAGCAGGTGGACAAGCAGTGTCCGGACCTAGTGGCACTTGGGATCCTAAGAACCCAACGGTCCCTCTTTCCAGCTTCAGGGTCCCCTGGGCAGGGAGGGGTGGGGGCTCTGAGGTCAAGCAGACCTCTACTCAAGACCTGACTCCAGCACCCACTGGCCACGTGACCTTGGGCGCCAATGTTTTCTCGGATGCAGGGCCAGCTTTGGACTGCTCCTCAGAAGGTCAGCAGTTCAAACGCACCAGCGGCCCTGAGGGAGAATGAGGAGGCTGTCCCCAGGAATCCCACCGAGGAGCGTCCCCAAGAGTCGGAATCAACTCGATGGGAGTGAGCTGAGCAGCGCTCTCTGGTCCAGAGATCGGGAGCCCTGCTGGCACAGCGGCGAAGCTCTCAGATGCTACCAGAAAGGCAGTCCACTGCACCCACTCGGACTGGAGGTCTGCGGACCTTGTTCTCACCGTCACGTGGGACCCCGATGCGTTTCAACTCACAGGCTCAACTGCATCTGACCGCCCTCCAAGGCTCTTTACTCCTGTAAAGATTTAAAGTCTGGAACCCAAAGAAGGGGTTGCTCCCTAAGTCAGCATCCACTGGATGGTGGGAGAGAGAACTCACCAGAGCTCCTGAGGAGGGCGGGACCGGGCGAAGCGCGTCTCTTCTCTGACCTGACAGTCAAGGCCTCCCTGTCCCACCCAGCTCCAGTCTGGTGTTCCCTTCCCGCGATGGCACCTGTGGCAGGCTTCAGGGATCTGAGAACGGTGCGGTGCCTTTTCTCCTAACCAGCCCGTCCAGCTCTCAGGATGGAAGCGTGCTTACCCAGAAGCCCCCCACCCCACCCTCAGAGTACCAACCTCCTCTGCACCCCTAGAACTTCATCTCCAAGTCTGGATCATTCTGCTTCTTCAACAGAGGGCTACTGGGCCGCCATTCTGTTGCTAGGCAACCAGAGGCAGCTACTGGGTGGACAGATATTTCAGACAGGCAGCCGAGAAGAGAGACATACACCAAGGGGGATCAGTCTATACCACTTAGCCTGACCTCTGCTGGTCCCAGGTCACCATCGCAGACAGCAGAGGCAGGACGGGAGCCCACTTCTCTCCCCCTGCCCAGCTCCACCCCGTTCAGTTCCCTTATCTAGGTGGCTGAGTCAAAGCAAACAGCAGTCCTACCCTATCTCAAAGGTCCCCTTTACAGGGTGCGCCATGTCCGGCTGGCCCAGGAGGGCGGGGCCCCTGGAGCTGGGCTACACACGGAGCGCGCCAGCCTCTGTGGGCCAGGCGGGTACCACCCTAGACATCCTGCACGTAGAAGAGGCGAGAGGGGCACTATGAAGGCTCAGGAGGGAGAAGCGCTTCTGGTCCCATGGCGTGGATTTGACCCCTGCGCTGCCCAACCCTAGGTGGCTGTCAGTATTTCCTATGGTTCACAACTACCCCCTGAGCTTGGGGGGGAGGGGGGGTGGCCTTTCCCAGAGAGGAGGCAAAGGGCAAGGGAGCCACCCAAGGTCATACAACTAGCATCCAACCGCTGGGGCTTTGGGCAGCACATGAAACCAACAAGAGCGGAGAGGCTGAGGAAAGGGGCCGGGGCAAACGGAAGGAGCAGCAGGAAGGGAGCAAGCCTTAGGTCAGGAGTGGGGGGCACTGAGATATGACTGGGCCCTGTTAGACTTGAGAGGCCACTAGATTCCTCCCAGTACCATCAGGCCCAGGGGAGGGCAGGCTTAAGCCCAGCTCCTCCCCCTCGCACGAGCAGGAGCAGAAATGAGCCCGCGCAGCAAGGCGGTGTCCCGGCCTGGCTGGTGAGTAACCAGCCTGGTTCTGCTCCCGACCCTTCCCTTTGGGCCTGCAGTTTGCTCACCTACAAAACCGGAAGTTGTACCAAGTGGCTCCCAACACAGAGGGGCCACAAGGATGAGATGGGATCAGAATGGGAAGGCTGAACTGGGCAGGGGGGTGAGAAGCCGGGACTCTCCATCTAGGAGGGGTGAAGACAGCTCTGTCCTCTGCAGACACTGTCCCCTCACCCAGTTCCTGGCCCAGAGTGCTGGCCTGGTCCTCACCTTGGATGGCTCCAGTCCAGCTTCTTCCCCCAGGGCCTGGCCATTCTGGAAAAGAGAAGAGAGGTGGGGGGCACTGTCAGAACTCATGACTTAGAACAGACCCCGTACAGCAGTCCCTGACTTGGCAGCTCCCAGCTCTCGGGGAAGCCATGGAGGTGGGGACAGGAGCTCTGGATGAAGTCCCCACCCCCATCCCCGGCCACTTTCATGGGGGCTGAACACAGGGGCAGGGACTCCTCCTCCTGCAAAAGCCCCTCCTCAGGGACCCAGCATTCCCCCTCATGTTCTCAACCCAGCAAACACCTCAACTTTTGAAGACTACTTAAATATCACCTCCTCCCGGTGAGAAGGGAGGGTCAGGTGGGGCTCTTCTGTGACCTGGTACAGACTATTCAACCACAAGAAGCTTCAGTCCCTCGATCTGTAACGCGGGAATAGTGGCACCTCCTCTAACCCTGAGCCCTTGGGGCACCGGTGAGAGAGACAAAGTAGGAGGAGTCCCCACCCAGAGACTGTGACTGGTATTGCCCTGTCCCACTCGGGGACCCCCTCCCTGATTTTCCCAGACAGGATGGCCCCTGGTTCCTTCACTGGACCACACATCCCACTTTACATACAGACCTGCCCTTCCCAGGAAACAGGAGCCCCGGGAGATCAGGGCTTCGGAGTGGTGGGAGCAGCTGCTCTGCTCTCAGTGAGCCGCTGCCACAGGTCAGGCACTGGGTGTGGAGCCTCACACCTGTGGCCCCGGTTAACCCTCAGGACAGCCCTGGGCTGGGGGCTGACTTGACAGAGGAGGAAATGGAGACTCAAGGGGCCCAGGGATGTGCCTAAGGTCACACAACTGATATGTAAGGGCTTAAAACCTGGTCTCTCGGGCACCCAGAGGATAATCAAAAGAACCCTGCTTGAGCCTCTAGCTGGTGCAAATGGTGAATGCACTGAACTGCTAACCCAGGGGTGGGAGGTTCAAATCCACGCAGAGGCGCCTTGGAAGAAAGGCCTGGTCACCTGCTGGGAACAAGACAAACTCACCCAGTGCAGCCATTCAACCAGAGGGAGCACGGGCCTGCTCTGACCCCCACGGGCCACCACACGTGGCAGCTGGCAAGGTCACAGCCGGGAAAACGAGAGCTAGCATTCAGAGGGAATGGATCTGCTGAAGAACAGCCCACATTCCTGACGGGAAAACTTCCTTTAGGGAGGAGTAGGGCCCTGGACCCCCACCCCTGGGCAGTTCTGTCCCTGGACTTCTACACTCGGGATGCACCAAACCCAGCCTGTCCCTGTGCTGCGTCCTGGGGGTGAGTGACCTACCCTCTCTGGGCCCAGGCAAGCTGAACAGAGTGGTCCCCACCTCTCCTGGCACAGCGGAAGTGCAGTGAAACGGCTGGCCCCAGCCTGGGGCAGGTCAGAGTTCTGGAGCCAAGATCTGGGTCCACAGGGCAGCTGCACCCTTGCTTGGCAGCAGCAGGCACACCTGTGCTGTCCATTACATAATCTCCTGGCCCTTGGCATAACACCCCTGCCACTCCCAGGACATCCTGCCCCCTGAACCCCCTTAATGCCTCCTAATCCTCCCCAGAGGCCACTGTTCCACGACCCTCACACACTGCCCTCTCTCGGCAGCCTGGAGAGCAGGCTTGGGCCGATCAGGGCCTGGGTGGGGGTGGGGGAGAGGTGGTGATGCCTTGGCAGATTGAATGGCACAGGTGACCAGGGCAGCCTCACAGCAGTGCTCTAAACCCAGCCTTCCCATTCTACACCCTCATCCTTCCTGCACTCAAGCGTGAGCTTTGCACCCAGTTTACTTGGCCCTCCACTGCCTGCAGATAGAAACCCTCGCTCCTTAGCATGGCCTCCAAGGCCATCATTGCCAACTGCCCAGCACGGCGATTAAAAAATGGGTGCTGGAACCTGACCCTGGTGGGTTCAGATCCCAGTTTCTCCCACACGCCGTGCCCCTGAGAAGGCCATGCCATTTCTTGGGACTTGTGTTTTCTCATCTGTGGTATGGGGATAAAAGAGGAACATGGAAGTCCCTACCATGTCGGGAAGGGGCTATTCAAGAAGCCACGGCAATTCCCCCCCCCACGAGCATCTGCAGACCTGCGGCATCAACAACAGCTCTGATGACAGTCCCGCCCTCTTCTCCAGCCTGGCCACCCGTCTGTTGGTTTGTTGTACTGCGGGGCCCGTATGTTGCTACAATGCTGGAAGCGATGGCAGCGGTAATTTAAAATACCAGCAGGGTCCTCGTGCTAGACAAGCTCTAGTGAAACTTCCAGACTCAGACAGACTAGGGAGAAAGGACGATGACCTATTTGTGAAAATCAGCCAATGAAAACCTCACGGCTCTCCAGAGAACACGCTCAAGCTGGCTTGGTCACGTCTGCATCGGCTCAAGTAGGAAGGCAGCGTGCTGGGTGGAGCGGAGGGACCGGCAAGGGCCAGGGAGACCCTGAGTGAGGTGGGCGGCACGAGAGCTGCAAAGCTGAACTTGAAAATGCCGGCAATCCACTGGAGATCCCCTTGCAGAGGGGTCCCGGGGAGGAGATGAGGCAGTCAGTGCGATGTAACAAAGATGAAAAATACAACTTTCCTCTAGTTCCTAAATGCTTCCTCCCATGACTCGAATTCGACCTTGCAAGTCTGGCTAGACCAGAGGATGTACACTGGTACAGATAAGAACTGAAAATACAGGGAATCCAGGGCAGACGATCCCTTCAGGACTAGTGGTTTTAGTGGCGAAACAGGGAGGGTAGAGGGAGAGTGGGTTGGAAAGAGGGAACCGATTACAAGGAACTATATGTGACCTCCTCCCCGGGGGACGGACAACAGAAAAGTGGGTGAAGGGAGACATCGGACAGGGCAAGATATGACAAAATACCCATTTATAAACTATCAAGGGCTCATGAGGGAGGGGGGAGTGGGGAGGGAGGGGGAAAATGAGGACCTAATGTCGGGGGTTTAAGTGGAGAGAAAATGTTTTGAGAATGATGTACAAATGCGCTTTACACAATTGATGTGGGTATGGATTGCGGTAACAGTTGTATGAGCCCCTAATAAAATGCTTAATAAATAAATAAATAAATAAAATTTAAAGAAAGGAAAAATCAGTTTAAAAAAAAAAAAAAGAAAATGCCGGCAATCAGGAGGATGGCACAGGCAGGGCAGAATCACATCTGGTGTGCCCAAGATCGCCAACTGTTGGACTTGCTGCCACAGCAGCGATCTAACCGTCCTTGAGTTCAACCCAATCACCTGAGCCCTGAGCCCCCAGCGGATCTCACATTCCACCAAGAAAAACTCCGAGCCTTGTTCCTTTGGCCATCTCCTGGTCTTCCGGGGCTCAATTCAAACGCCACCTCTTCTGACCACACAGCCTCGCCGTCTTTCCTCCCTCCTCAGTGCCCCTACAGCGTGGCGCCCACTACCTGCGGCTTCACTTGAGAAGAAGGAATGGCTTGTCCTTCACCCTCTCTCCGGAACCCAGCCGAGGGCCCAGAGTGCTGGATGCCACGTGAAGGTTAAACCCGGCAGGGAGGCCATGACTCCTCTAGTACTCCTATTTTGCAGAGGCGGCTCAGAGAGTTAAGGAACTTACCCAAGGTCCCTCAGCACGCAGGTGCCAAAAATGGGACATAACCCAAGTCACGTGGCTGCAAGTCTTGGTCTCCCGAGATGGAGAGGCGGCAGCCGGAGTACACAGAGGTGTGAGTTTACCAAGCCAGCAGCGCTTCCACACCGTCCTTGAGGATCCAGGGGACTCTGCAGGCCCCTCTCCCCGCCACCCCGTGAGTTTCTGGACTGAGGGGTCTGGAGGAACCCTGCCCAAGGGGGATGCCTATATGAAGTAACACACGGCTCGAGAAAGAAATGGGCAGCTCTGGAGAAAGGACTAGGGGCATGGAGAGGCCCCCTGGGGAGCTTCCCCGTCAGGGCCAGGCCCTGGGAAAGCAGAGCTCGGGTGCCCCTCAGGCCTGGCCGCTGCATGGGGTAGCCACAAAGACATGGCATCCAATCCGGGCTCTGGCCTCGAGTGTGTCATGCTACTTATCCGAGGCTTGGCTTCCTGAACTGCAGAGATTTTTCAGCCCCCTTGTTCATGGCTGCAGCTCAGTTGCTTAGAATGGGACTTGGGACATGATAAGTGCTCAGTAAATATTTGATGAATGAATGAATGATTAAAAGGGGACAATGTCGCTGACCTGACACAACAGTGAATAAAAGCTCAGCGACAGGCCCCTTGGCCTCTTGGAGTGGACAGACCCTCTCTCCTTGCTGTTTCTCAGAGAGCAGTGTCTGGGGAGAGCTGCCCAGGGTCCCAGCAGCTTGGTCTTGAGAAGAGAGCCAGGGCAGCGGCTGTTGAAGCCAGGCAGCAGATGGAGGGAGGGTAGCACGTGCCCCGCAGGCAGGAAGTAGGCTCAGGAGCTGGGTTCAGAGCCCAGCCTTGGCAGCCCTGAATGCTGCTGGAGGCCACAGGCCTGGGGCCAGGGGCCAGGTGCCAGGGCTGGCTAGCACCAACAACTGCCAGCCCCTCGGCCGAAGTTGGACGCAGGCCCTGTGGGGTGAGGACCTCTGCCAATATCCGGAGTACCTTTCACCTGGGCCACTGACCCCAGCCCTTCTTCAAAGGGGCCTCCCCAGGCGGCAGAGGGCACTGAGAAAGCAGGGTTCCAGTTCTGGCTTTCAGATTCATTCCGAAGCCAGTCCTCTTTGAGTTCAGCTGGCTCTTCGGAAAATGGAGACAAAAATTCCCACTTTGCAACTTGTGAGAATTACCGGGTTGGTGGAAGGTAGCAAGGCTCTGTGCAGGGCCAGGAAGGGCAAGCCATGCCGGGTCATAACAAGGTGAGTGCTTTCAGCAGGGCCAAGGCCCAGGTGGAATCTCAGCCATATTTCCAAAGGCTCTGCTCCACCTGGGCCGCACCCTGGACCAGGCCCTGCCTCCCAGCAGCCCATTTTCAGCGGCGTCACAGGAAGGGCAGCCCAGACCCAGGCCTCTGCCAAGTGCTCCAACTGGTCCCTTGCTGCCTCCTTCCCGGCTGGGAGCCGCCGGCGGCTGCGCCTGTACCTGCAGGTCAGGCCACTGTATCACTTACATGTCACCTGGGCGAAGAACAGCGAGGCCCTGTTCTCCAGTGAGAACAGCCCAACCCTGGCCCTGGCTGCCCAGGGCTCCAGTTACCCAAACAATAACACCCAGCCGCCTGGTACACCCATGGTGGAGGTAGGGGGGGGAGGGTGTTGTTGGTAGGGGGCAGGCAGCCATGGAGGGTGGGGGAGTTGCTCCCCGTCTCATCCCTCCCCCAGGCTCGAGAGGCAGAGGCTGGAGCCCATCCCTCTCAGTAGAGAAAGAGAGGCTCAGAAAGTGTGAGGACTGACCAAGGGTCACACAGCATTTCCAAGGTGAAGCCCCTGCCTATCTAAGGGAATAAACTAGTCTCTTCCTTCACAAAAATCAGGTGTGGCAGTCCTCAGAAGGAGGCAAATTTCCCTTTAGACCTAGACCCAGCCCCTGGGGAAGCCAGCCCCTGCCCCAGGATCCCAAAGGGGAAGCAGGAAGTGGTGCCCTGCCTGGACTCCTGGAAGCCCTCCCTTCCTCCCTTCCTCCTCCCTCCCACCTGCACAGCCCACAGGAAGTCCTGGGGTTATATCCTTGCCGCCTCTCTGCCCTACCTCTCTCAGGGAGGCCTAGGTCGCAGGGGCACGCCTGGGCAAAGGACTCCACCTCTAAGGGCCACCTCTCTGCACCTGAGTAGAGGGAAGGGTGGGGGGGAGGCAGGGCTGCACCGGACAGTGTCCCTCACCTTGAAGGGTGGGTCAGCGAGAGAACCTCTGAGCAGCCAGCCCAGAGCCTGTAAAAAGCCCATGTCAGCCCGCCGGGGCAATTGACTTCACGTGGGTTACCTGATTCTACCTTGACGGCTTGCTACCCTCCACCATCCCATCACCAGCCAGCCATCTCCTTCAAAGGGCAGTGGGAGAGACCCCAATCTGAGATCCCAAAAGCCAGGGCACATGGGGTTGCCCAGAGTGAGAGAGAGGGGAGGGGCAAGAATTGAGGTAGAGGCCCAGCCCCGCGGGGAGGGGGGCGGTGGTGGAACTACCTGAGTGCCCTGACTTAGCCCAGTCTCCTCGCAGACTGGCGCCAGGTCCCCTGAAAGAGGGCGTATCACCTGCCAGTTCAGGGGCCTGCCCTGGACCCTAGGGTCCAAAGGGCATTAAAGGGCGCAGGAGCTGGCCTTCTGCCTCCATAAGTAAGGCCTGTGACCCAGGGGACAGGCCAGAACTACTTCTGGGAGACACTGGCAGGTGGAGGCCAAACTCCCTATGGCCGGGCCATTTCTACGAGAAAGAGGCGGAGACAGGCCCCAGGCCCCAGGCCCGCCCCCTCCCCAATAATCTTCCTAAGGTCTGAGGCTCTGTGCCCTTTTCTCCGGAGGGCAGCCTAGGGGTATGGGTGTCCTCTGGTCCCAGCCTCAGGATGAAGAGAGCCAGGAGTCCCAACCTCAGATGGGTCCTGTCACCTCACACTGCATAGGGGATAGAAGCGACAATCCTTCCACGGACGGCGGCGAAGACGCGGGCGCTCTTGGTGCAGACAGCGGAGATGTCAAGGAGAAGTTGGGGGGTGGGGGGGAGGCTGTACCATGACTCTGGTTTCTGGTAGAATCCCCAACCCTGCCCGCGCCAAGGAAGCCTCCGCAGCCCCCCGCTGATCCCAGGAAGGGTCCAAGGTGTGTGTGCCGAGGGGGACCCGATCTCAGTGCTCCATAAAAGCCCCTCTTCTGGCTACTGGGGGTACTCGGAGCTTGGCGGAACTGTCCCTGGCGTGCACACGCGCGCGCGTACACACACACACGGCACTGGGGGAGGCGTGGAGACCGAGAGTAAGCAGAGATCAGAGGGCGCCAGCCAAGCTACAGCCGCGGCGTGCGGGCCGCCCCGCCCCCGCGGGGACCCG